GGTAGAAGTAGCAGTAGTGGTAGTAGTAGCAGTAGTAGTAGAAGCAGTAGTAGTAGCAGTAGTGGTAGAAGTAGCAGTAGTGGTAGAAGTAGCGGTAGTAGTAGCAGTAGCGGTAGTAGTAGCAGTAGTGGTAGTAGTAGCAGTAGTAGTAGCAGTAGTGGTAGTAGAAGCAGTAGTAGTAGCAGTAGTAGTAGAAGTAGCAGTAGTGGTAGTAGTAGCAGTAGTAGTAGAAGCAGTAGTAGTAGCAGTAGTGGTAGAAGTAGCAGTAGTGGTAGCAGTAGTGGTAGCGGTAGTAGTAGCAGTAGTGGTAGAAGTAGCAGTAGTGGTAGTAGTAGCAGTAGTAGTAGAAGCAGTAGTAGTAGCAGTAGCGGTAGTAGTAGCAGTAGTGGTAGTAGTAGCAGTAGTAGTAGCAGTAGTGGTAGTAGAAGCAGTAGTAGTAGCAGTAGTGGTAGAAGTAGCAGTAGTGGTAGCAGTAGCGGTAGTGGTAGCAGTAGCGGTAGTGGTAGTAGTAGCGGCAGTGGTAGCAGCAGTAGCAGTACTAGCAGCAGTAGCAGTAGTAGTAGCAGTAGCGGTAGTAGTAGCAGTAGTGGTAGCGGTAGCAGTAGTAGTAGAAGCAGTAGTAGTAGTAGCAGTAGTGGTAGAAGTAGCGGTAGTGGTAGCAGTAGCGGTAGTAGTAGCAGTAGCGGTAGTAGTAGTAGCAGTAGTAGTAGCGGTAGTGGTAGCAGTAGAGGTAGTAGTAGCAGTAGCGGTAGTAGTAGTAGCAGTAGTAGTAGCGGTAGTAGTAGCAGCAGTGGTAGCAGCAGTAGCAGCAGTAGCAGCAGCAGCAGCAGCAGCAGCAGCAGCAGCAGCAGCAGTAGTAGTAGTAGTAGCATAGCAGAAGTATCATAATTATAATAAAAAACCAGAGGCAGACAGGCCAGCAAGGAGGCTACTCTCATAACCTGAATCCAAGACAGTCACAGTGCCCCCTTTTGTTAGTCTCAACTACCCTGTACTTCTCTTGCATAATATCTGGTACTTTATTCAGTGTCTAGCCTCCTCCCTAAACTATAAGCCCCATGAAGAACAGGCTATATATGTTATTCACGTCTACATCCTGATGCCTAGTACTATACCTGGCAACATCAGCTACTCAATAAATGGTTGTTCAATCAATGAGCAAACAGATAAAACTAAATGAAACTGCTACAAAATTATTTTAATATGCCTAATATTTTTTTTCCTCTGGAATAGGCTAAAAAGAAATATGTCTAGCTACTTTGATGATTTAAAGTTCCTTTTTATTCCTGGAATTTAAATTCATAAAAATGATATTTGTTGAGTTCACCCCCAAGTTTATGAATATTATTTGTTGGTTCTAAATTTGTTATCCTTTTTACAGATGAGGAGCTGAGGAGCTCAGAGAGAGATTAAGTACCTTGCCAGGGTCATAAGGGAGAAAGAACTTGACTCTGGGCCTGGCTAGCCCAAACCTGTCCTCTTACCCACTGTGTAGAATTTAGACTGAACGAACTAATGAGGGAAAGCTTTACGGCAGGCAATACAATCGATCTGTTTCCTAACGAGAAGGTAAATTTCCACATATTTGAGATAGAGGGTAGGACATTCCAATTCCATAAGGAAAACATGAGGAGAATCCATTGTCCAAAAAATTCTCAGTACCCTGAGAGATAAGTGGATAAACCAATGTGCTTAGATATATGGAACTTGGAAAGAAAAGAAAGTTAAAAGTGGGAAATCCAGTTAGAAAAGTGGCTTCGAGCCAGATGCTGTCAGCCCAGTGCAGTCCAGGACAGAAGTGAGCCCCTGCAGGTTTCTAGGCAGAGAGAGGGCACAGTCTGAGCTGAATGCTTGGCTTGAGGCTTGAGCTCTAAAGGGAACCTTGAGAAAACCAACCCCTTGGCTTATCAGTTTCCATACCTTTAAAACAGCAGCATATACAATTCAGGTTCATTCATCAGCTGGTTAGCAAATTAGCCTGGTTAATTATCACAACTTCTCTGAAAACAAATTGTGACCCCAAACCATAGTATTCAGTCTGATGGCAGGTTTTTCTTTCTCAACTTCAAATTGGTCAGTGGATTTTAAAAAAACAAAATGCTTCTCTCAGCTGGTTTTCTCTGCTTCTGGCTTTTATGAGTCTTGTATTTACTTAGGGCCACATCTTCTGCTTGTTCATGAAATCGTACCATGGATGGATGTATCACTGGTCTCTTCAACATAAGATCAAAGGAAGACGCATCTGGCCGTCTTGGTTTCTATCTGACAGTAGATTCATCTTGGCTCAGGATTCACAAGTTGTGGATCTTGGTGGGAAAGTTGGAAGCTTGCTTCTGGTTCTCTTGGTCTCATGGAGTTAAGTGAAATTTGATGAGGTGGGTGGAGAGTTATTTGGCTCATTCCACTTTGCTCCTCTCCCCTTTCTCCTTAATGTTAGACGTTCATCAAGCTTGCCTGGGTGGAGACTGCAAGCCAAAACTAGCATGCATTTGAGTGAGGTCTGAACACAGAACCGCAGTGCAGACAAACAGCAATCACTCCTGGCCCCGGCCTAAGGATTTCGACATTGACATTCCCATATCCACACATATATGATACAGTTATGTCTTAAACATCAAATGTGAACTGTGGAAATAATATGGAAATCATGCCTTATGTATTCTAAAACATACTAATTGAAACCAGACTTTGAGTCCTCATTTCTTCTAAATCCAGGTGAAAGTTTCTTATTCTTAGAAAGAAATGATTGTGAGCAAAGTGTTTTTCTTGGACTTGGAAAATCTTGCTCAGAATCAGCTACATCTTGTCCGTTTGAATCTCCCCTCTGCCCCTACACCCACTGGTTTTCTTTCCCTCTTTCTCAGACACTGTCTCCCTCCCTGCACTGACTGCCCTGCCCTGTTCCTACTCCCAGCTGTATGACCTACAGGAACTTCCTTGGTGAGCAGGGCTTTTGAAAATGTTAAACTGTTTAGGTTGGAGCTGTGGCCTGACTTTGTCAAAAGCCATATGGTGCTGAGATAAAACTGGGGAGAAGAGACACAGCCAAGATCTGCAAGATCTGCGACTAACCAAAGCTGTGAGTTTAATGAGGAAAGGAGAGATTAAGGGAGTTCTGGCTCTTCTGGCAAAAGCCCCAGTTGAACACAGGAATGCCCAGAGGCAAAAGCAACTCAACCTACAATAAATTAATAAAACAGCCTATTGATTCCAGCCTTGTTGTCAACACAGTAGACTGAAGCTGCGTCTCAGCTTCCAGGAAGTAAGTGCTCTCAGGGCTCCCAGTTTTGCATATAGGCAGACGCCCAGTCTCCAGGGATCATGCAGGACGAATTGCTCTCCATGTGTCTCTTTCCCAGTGGTGTATTACACCGGTAACATGAAGCAGTTACAGCAACTTTCCCTTTCCTTTGTGAAAGAACTGTATGCGTTCTTCCTAAGAGAGTATCCACTGTTTCAGAGAATCAGTCAATAAAAAATTACATTACGAATGTAAAGAGCTATATAGCTTTCACTGGAAATAAAAAGGAAAGGAAAATACTCCCTATTTTCTCTTAAAATTTTCCCATGAATGAGAAAGTAAAATATTACCTCCCGCAAGTTAACATCCACTAAAGTAATTTGCCCTCCTTGATCATGTAGAATCAAAGTATGTTTGTTCAAATGGAATTGCTATTCAAATATTTTTGACATGGAGTTAGTCTTGTAACTTCAAAATATTCTATTTCTATCTTTAAAAAATACTTTAATGACTCTGAAAAGATAAAGTGAGAAAAACTAGTTGTAATTAATAATAAGTAAGCTGATTGCACTTACTCAAGGCAAAGCAAATAGAGCCCTAATAGCTTTGAATGACCCTAAGCAGGTCGCTTCACTGGAAAGAATCAGAAACAGATTGTTGCATATTGGATAAGTTTATTACATGGGTTGTTACATGTATAAGAAAGTCAGGAGGCATGAACTGGCCTCCTACTTTGGTAAGGGTAGGGAGTTGAAAATAATTTATAGTAAATACGCCAATCTAAGACTCAAAGCAACATCAGCACCAGCTAACACAGAAGGAAGGGGAGAGGAAACGAGGGATGGATCGTGTATAAGAGATCTAAACACCTGCATTAGAAAGAAGGAACTGCAGAAAAAGCAGGAGGAAGGAGGACTGAAAGTTTAGGTGGGCAAAGGGTTGCTTTTCCCCCGATTCCCGCAGTGATCTGGAAAGCATGCACGGTCAGCAGCAGACAGGCACTCGGAAGTGGAGACACTGGACACAGCTGACAACTGAGGCAGGAGGAAGAAGGGAAGAAACAAAGAAGGGTGGAGTGGCCCAGGAGGAAGAGCGAAGCGCAACAGGCTCGCCTGCTGATTCTGTCCACAGAGGCTTCAGCAAAGATGAGGAAAGCCAAGCCACATCAGTGATGGGAGGACAGCAGGAAGGCCTTCTAGGGGAGATTTGTGGTGCGGATTCACTCCACATTGATGAGAGCAGCTCGCCAGAAACAGACAGAGAGGTAGGAACTCTGGTTATTAATGGAATCAGGATGAACTCAAGGGGTGTCATTTGTAATCATGTAAATTCCAGGAAATGGAAGAGCTTCCAATTATCAACATAACTAGATTACTTAAAGCCTATTTCAGAGAAGATTAAGTCAACAAAAATAATTTCATGGCAATTCTGTCCAGCAGGCCAAGGCTAAAGATTTGGTTCTTCAAAAATGACAATGAAAACAAGCAATTTGTGCTCAGATAAAAGAACATTGTGATGTTTTAACAGTTGTGGGGGAAATAACAACACATTTGCAATGTCTATGTGGAGAACGCACATGAGAAAGAAGTACAGGAAGGGGATGGAATTAAATCCCCATGATGTACTTGTCAATTAGAAATGGGAAAGGTATGATTAGACAGCTAAAGGCGTGAAAGAAGGACGAATTGAAGATGGATGGATGAATGGACGGATGGATGGATGGGTAAGTAAGTCAACTGATTGATGGATAAATCCAAAAGCTAGGGCAATGTGCGAAAAAAATCTATTTAGGTATTTTAAGAGAATAAGTCCTAGTTTTGTATCCTTTTAAAAATAGAATTTTATACAGTCTTTGTAATGACAAAACTAAAACATATTTATGCAAATGGTCCATTTCACATCAACATGAGAAGAGGCCTACACAGCTGGGCCATTTAACATGAATGAACTACTAAGCCAGTAACATCTGCCAAGAATTGAGAGAAGAATCCAGAGGCTGTAAAGGGAGAAGCCAGAGGAGAGACTTCTGGAAAAAAGTGAGAAGAATAAAAAAGGTGAATTTAGGATTTAGGAATGAGAGTGGAAGGATGAGAGAGTGAAACAGGTGGACTAATAAGAAACTAATAAATGTAAGGGGGGAAAAGCTAGCAGGAATGACAGAGTTTAGAAACAAAAAGGAGATACACAAATATGTATTGTAGAATGAGGATTTTTTATCTGAAGACCATGCCAGCCTGTGGACCAGAGAAGGCACTGGTTGCCAGCCTCACTGTGTGGGCTTTGCCTGTGCTGATGTGCTGATCTGCCCAGCTGCAGGGTCTGGCCTTCAGCCTTGCAGGTTCAAAAGCACTGGGATTGGGTCCAGAGGCCCAGCTCACAGAGATACAAAAACCAGAACGTCGATGTGCACACACACACAAGTACACTCTACCCGACAGGCTGTCTCCAGAAAAGCAAATAACACTCGGAAGATCACCTGGTGATGACGGGACTGGTGCGAGAGAAGTCCTGGAGCATAGAGATTAAAAGCCTAGACAGCAGCACAAGCATCTGTCACTTGCTGGCTCTGTGGCCTTGGACATGTGATTTAATCTCTCAGTGCCTCACTTTTCCCGTCTACAAAATGGGACATTCCAGTTATCTATTTTTATGTTTTAAAAAAATCACTCCAAAGGTTAGTGGCTTAATACAAAAACACAAGTCTTTTTTTTTTTTTTTTTTTTTTGTCTTTTGAATCTGCCGTTTGGCAGGACTTGGCAGGGACAACTCAAATATGTTCCACATGGCATTAGCTGGGGTGGCCCAATGTGGGGCTGGAGAATCCATCTGCAAGATGAAAAACTGATACTGACTACTGTTTGGGGGCTCAGCCAGGACCACGGGCCTGAGACTTCAGTTCTTCAGTGTGGGCCTTTCCATAGGCTTCTGAGGCTTCCTTGACTGTGGTGTCTGGATTCCGAGAGCAAGCACCCCTAGGGACAGGAAGTAAAAGTTGTCTATTTCTGAAGGCTTGTGCCCAGAGACCAGCACATACCACACTCTATGGGTCCAGCCCACAGGTTCAAAAGGAGAGAACAAAGGGCCACACATACCTCTCAACGGGGAACATGTCCAAGAACTGTGGGGTCATGTTTTAAAACTGCAAGAAGTCTGCCCTCTGGCCACAAATTATTTACTACATTCCTCTCACGTGCAAAATACATTCACCCTCGCAAGATCCCCACTTCAGCATCAAGCCTCTTTTCCTTTTGTACTGTTTCTGTCTCTTTAAGCCATGCTGGTGGTGATTTAACTAAACAAATTCTCTTAAAAATTTTGTGGGTTTTGTATAAATCACATTGGGGTCATTCCAATAGACAAAAGCCAACTGCAAATTTCTTCACAAAAGTCCCTCCCCCTGTGAGACTGCCATGGAACAGACATCCTTAAGGTACTTAGAAGCCTTTGTTTTTAATGAGGAGCATCCAGAGGCATCCCTCAGACCCTCTGGAGAACTTTCATCCATCTACGAAGTTCTACAAGGCACTGCCTTACACCTTTCTGAAGTCTTAACAAAAGATCTGATAATCCCATCCTGGATTTGACCTTTGGCCTGAGCCCCTTCTTAATTTGAGAGCTGTATGCCATCTGGAAAAGCTTGGAGAGAAATAGCTTTGTTTTTAAATCCAGCAAGTCCTACTTTCTTCATATTTAATGATTCATTCTTTAGCTCCTCTATCTCCTCCTCCTGTTTAGCACAGACAGTGAGAAGAAACCAGGCAGCACTTTAATATTCTTCCTGAAAGTCTCCTTAGCTAGAACCTTCATTAGGTACATGTCCTGTTTCCACACCACTCAGGCAACAATGCTGTAAAACCTTCTACCACTACGTAACAAGGAATCCCCTTTTTCTCAGCTTCAAAGAACATTTTCTGCTCCCACCAGCAGCTTCCTCCAAGGCCCTACAGGCTCCTGCTAACACTTCCCCAGAGGCCCAGCCACTGTCTACTCTCCGCCTGGTCTCAAACCAATCCCATGTGTATTAAGTTTGCAATATACAGCACCCCACCTCCACATACCAAAATCATCTTGGTTTATTATGAAGCAATTTATAATTTACTCCATTAATAACTATGTCCTTATAAGGTTGTGAAGATCAGTTTAGTTAATGCCTATAATGTGCTGATGGCACATATTAAGAACTCAGTAAAGGTTTTCTCTTACTTAAATGCTTGTAATGTGTGTTTAATGCATTGCTTGAGAATATACAGTGCTGTAGAAGACAAGAAGACAAACAGGAAGAATGAGACATAAGATCTATTACTCATATAGAGCCGACCCTAGAATCACACAAGGGTTTGGGACTCCGACCCTCCACAAGGTCAAAAATCTGGCTATGACTCACAGTCAGCTCTCCATATGTTCTGTTTCTCCATATCTGTGGTTCTGCATCTAAGGATTCAACCAGGGATCATGTAATACTGTAGTACTTGCTACTGAAAAAAAAAATCCATGGATAAGTAGACCCACGCAGTTCAAATTCATGTTGTTCATGAGTCAACTGTATCCATGTTTGTATTAGTAACCTGGATGAGGTTTTTAGATAGAAAAAATGTAAGTTGAGCATAATGAGTATACAATATGCTTTACTTATATTTTCTAAAGAGAAAAGAGGAAATAGGATGGAAGATAAAAGAATGGAAGATGAGAAAGAGAGATGAAAAAGGATGGAAGGATCAAGTTAACATTAATATTCATGATACACTAAAACATGAGATATATGAGACTCTCAATGTCCATGACGTCTAATTAGATTACCCACCGGTGACATCAATTCTGGCCCCTTGTGTCCTCTCCCCATAGCTGATCAGTAGGCTAAGGGGCAAGCTACAGTTGTGTCTCTCCAATAAAACAGGCGCTTGCCATTGAACCTGGACATCTTCTGTCTGACTGGACCGCCCTATTCAAACCTCAGCTCTGGTCCTCATAACCCCATCATTAGTGGAGAAGGCTAATGTGGCAGAGAGGTGGATAGTCATATGACCATGACACAGTTTGGGAATCTGTAGTGTGGTCTCCCCACCACCCTCACATCTTATCTAAGTGTGTTAATCAATCCTATTTCTTAAACCTTGTGTTGTGGGTTGAATTGTGTCTCTCCAAAAATACCTAACCCAGGTACCTGTGAATCTGACCTTTTCTTGGAAATAGGGTTTCTGCAGATGTAATCAAGTTAAAATGAAGTTAAGATTAAGATCGGCCCTAAATCTGATCAGTAGCGTCCTTATAAAAAGGGAACACAGATACGCACACACACAGAGGGGGACCGCCATGCGCGGATGGAGGCAGAAATCAGAGTGATGTATCTGCCAGCTGAGGAACACCAAGGCTTGTCAGCAACCAACGGAAGCCAGGGAAAGGCAAGGAAGGATCCTTCTCTTGAGCCTTCAGAGGGATTACGGCCCTGCCGACTCCTTGATTTCAGACTTCTAGGCTCCAGAACTATGAGAGAATTAATGTCTGTTGTTTAAAGTCACCCAGTTTGTGGCACTTTGTTATCACAGTCCTAAGAGACTAAGATATCTTGCTTCTTGCTGTGAGTTTTAAAGTGATCTATAAAAATAAATCAGGATATCAGCGTGTTTCCATATCTTGGCTGTTGTGAATGCTGCTGCCATGGTCATGGAAGGGCAGATATCTCTTCGAATCCTGATTTCATTTCAGTCAGTTGTATGCCCAGAAGTGGGATTGCTGGATCATACGGTAGTTCTGAATCTACGGTAGTTTTTAAACTTTTGAGGAACTTCCGTATTATATTCCATTGTGGCTGCACCAATTTATATTCCCAATAAGAGTGCACAAAGGTTTCCTTTTCTTGGAGGGTTTATTTAAATGTAGATTTCCTCCCACCAAATTCTCACACACATTAAGGCTCAAACTCAGTTGGGGCTGACATTCCTGGTGCTTGCCCACACATCCAATTCTTCCTTCCTTCCTTCCTGGCATAAGGGAGACTTCACTTACCAGCTCCTTTGGAGTTGGGCAGGGCTAGACACAAGGTTCTAGACAATGAAACGTAATCAGAAGTGACATGGGCCACTCATTAAGGCAAGCGAATGAGAAACCCATGTATTTCTCCATTTCCTCTTCCCCTGCTGCCACAAATGCAGAGTCCTTATTTGAAGTGGAGGAGCCCTAAGATCAAAGCAACCTGGACCAAGGAGTCATGGAAAGGAGGCAGGCTGTTCTGGAGAGTTGTCAGACATGCCTCCGAGTTTCGGGCAGCAAAATGTGAACTTTTGTGGTATTAATCCCCAAAATTTGTTATTTGTTACCACAGCAGAACCTGTCCAGTCTGACTAGCAGATCTGAAGTAGGGTTCAGGAATAAATACCTCCTGGTTTACTTCTTCTGTTTTGTATTCCATGGACCACAGACGGAACATTCTCTTCAGCTGACCTGACCAGTCACCATCTCCTACTCATGGGGTTTTTCCAAACAGTGAACAACACCACTTAAGTGTTCTCTCATTCATCTCTTAGAATCATGCTTTCCTTCACTTTCTTTCAGATCATCACCGTGCACAATTTTGGTTGCTCTCCAAAGCAGGTGTTTGTGGTCTTTGTTCACTCAACTGTTTGAACATCTCAGTAAACTTCTTTTTATCTGATTATTATTTTATTAGGAGTACATTACTGCCAATCCCATATAGTGAAAAGAAAATGGAGAAAGAAAGAAAGCAGCCAGAAAAAGTAATGGAAGGACAAATGTAGAAAAAAATTACATGATCATAGCAGATGGAAGGAAACAAGTAAAATATAAAACTTTTCTAAGAGTATAGATCTTATGTTAAGTGTTCTTATCACAGAATAATAATAATAATAATAATAATAATAATAATAATAATAATAATACATTAAATGGGTGAGAGGAGACTTCTGAAGGAGATGGATATAGCATTGATTGTGGCATTGGTTTCATGAGTGTATACTTATCTTCAAACTCATCAAGTTGTATATATTGAATATGTACAGCTTTTTGTATGCTAGTCATACCTCAATACAGTGAGGGTTTTTTTTTAAGTAAAATAAAACCTGATAGGTGAAAGGCAAGATGCAAAGAATCAAAGAGAGGGAGGAAAAAATACAAAGAAAATGCAAACAACAACCTAAAGGAACAAATTAAATCCAGATTACAAAATGTAAATCCAGAAGGCCATTAATAAAGAATAATCATGACAGCACTAACAACAGCAGCTCACATTTACAGAGCATCTGCCATGTCCATGCACTGTGCTGTGCATTTTTACTTCATTTCCTCTCATCCTTACAAAGACCACAGGGTGAATTTTCTTACCACTAAGATGAAAAAAACAGACTGGAAGACATTCAGTATTTTGTTAAGGGTCACACAGGATAGCAAATGGCAGAGCCGGTCAAAACCATTTCTGTCTTGCTCCAAAGCTTTGATCTTTTCCAGTATATCACACAGCCTTCCAATCACATAAATGTTAGGATAAGAAAGCAGGGCTAAATATAAATAAGAAAATGTACTGTAAATGACTGGCCTAAAAAGAGCTCTATTCATCTAGTCAGTATAGAATGAGACTGGATGATAGGTTTCTCTCTCTCTTTTGTCTCTTTTCAAATATACAATCTGAAGCTTAAAAGATAAGATTTGTGTGAGACTATGCATGGTCATGAGGATGAACTGGGAAGGGGAAAAGAGAAAGAGTACCGACTCTTTTCCTACATGTAACACTAAAAGCAGCAGCAGCAGCAAGAAGGAATTTCAAACGAGACTTTGGAAAAGGTGATGGTATTGGAAGTAAATCAAAGTGACTAAAAAATCCAAACTGTTAGAATCCCTCAATAAAAATAAATAACTTAAAGTTTGCTTATTTAGTATACACGCTAACAGTCTCCGCAACAGGTCTTGGGGCCAGGAAAGCTTAAGCACTGGGAAAGGAACAGAGCTACTTAATTAATGATAAAGAAGTAACTGAAAATAATGTATCAAAATGAGGAATATTTTACAGAGGTAGATGGCAGGAGATCAAATTTTCTTCAAACAAGAAGAAATAAATATGTAAGAGTAATGGTCAAGTCGATGAAAGGCCTTCTGGCTTTGGAAAGGAGAAGAGAATGGTAGGACATGTTTTAAAAACTATACAAAGAAAACTCAAAGGAAGGAAGAGAGCCAAAGTCTTTCTAAAAAAGTAAATGCTCCCAGCTGTGGTAATGGCTAATGGAAGGCATAGAGAGAGGGAGAAGGGATGGAAACTGAAGTCAAAAACAAATAAATGAACAAATGAGAAATGTTTGAGACAAAATTAAGGTAACGAGAGAAGGAAAGGAGATCAAGAAAAGGTGAAATTTCTTCTCATGAACATTTCAGTGTTCAAAAAGCAGAGAAAGAGCTGCTGGCTTAAAAGAGAGGCAATACAGGATGGAAGGTAAGAGGCTGACACCGGGGGTTCGATCCCAACCCCACAGCTTAAGCCAGATTGTTTTTCTTTCCTTTTTTTAGGGAACTTTCTTAATTGCTCTGTGCCTCAGTTTCTTTTTATGTGTGAAACTGGAGAAACGGGAAATGTTTATGCTTGTTGCCACCTTCTCCAGCCGGAGCTGTTATGAGGAATAAACTGAGATGATGAGTATAAATTTCAATGTAACGCCTGGCTCATCAGGAAGAGTCTGGGAAGATAAAAACCAGCAAACAGCACTGGAAGAGAAACTGCAGCTAGAGCACAGCATGTCTTTGAGGAACTATTTCAACTGCAAAACAAAAAGGCACATAGAGTTGTAGACTAATGTTTCAGAATCCATAAAAGAAAGGACAGCCCTCAGACAACTTATCCAACAAATACAGCTCAAAAAGTGAGCTGTCCTGTTGAATTGTTTTTGAAGGGAAAGGACTCCTGGGTCTAGCAGACTCATTGCCGGGTTCTTAGAAGACAACTGAGAATGTCTGGGATCCTGTCTTCAGTGAAATATGAGAGAAATACTGAAATGAGGTCCACAATGAAATAATGAGAACTAACAGCTAATGGAAGAAACAGGAAACATATGAACAATTTGAGGTCATATCCTAAATGACCATAAATAAAGGATAGTTAAATAAATTACGGTACATCAATATCCTGAGCAACTGCTAAAAAGAATGTAATGGTTCTCTATATGTGCTTATATGAAGAAACCCTTTATATGATGTTTAGTGATACAGTGCAGGACATTGTACATATTAAATTACCCTACTTTATGAGAATATTTTATATGATTATATGTACATAAGTGAACCAGGTATACAACAAAGAGTATTAGAAAACTTTTCCTTTTTCATTATTTGCCCAGAGGAAGGCAAAGTGGTATAGTGCTTTAAAACATAGGGTCTGCAGGTCTAGCAATCAGGTAACCTTGGGCAAGTTATGTGATCCCTCTATGACCAGTTTACTCATCTGCATAACGAATATGCTAGGGATTCGGATCAACATGGCAGAGTAAGAGGACATGGAACTCACCTCCTCCCACCATCTCAAAAATATATCTACATGTGGAACAAACCTCACTGGAAACTGGCAGAAGGAGCTTCCTTGGAGTCTTAAAGGGAGATTACATGAGTGACAACTGCCCGGGGGAGTGAGCAGTTCAAGCCACAGATTGGACAATCCAGTCCTGGGGTCCTATGCAGGGGAGAGTCTCCCTGGCTGGTTGGAGGACTGCTGGGACTGACAGAAGGGCTGTGGGAAGCCTGGACTCTGCTTGTGAGGAGCACAGACATGTAGGCTTGCCCCTGAGGTCTACTCTATGGCTGCCAGGTTTCCTGTGACCACTTCAAGCTGCCCCAGCCCGAGCCAAGCAAACGCTCAGACCTACTCACACTGCACATCACAGCACGGCACTGGATCTGGGGTGGCCAAGACTCAGGAAAAGACTTGACCATGGGACACAAAGGTGACCTGGTCCTGGGGCAGAGCCTGGCTGGGGCGACAGCCGTCACTGTTAGTGATTACTCAACCAGCAGCTCAGAAACAGCCCAGATCTCTGATGGCAGCCACTACACCACAGCTTACCCCCAATACACACCAAGAGGTCACACAGGTCCCATCTGCCCTGAGGAGCAATTCCACAAGGCAGGCAACAGAGGCTGAGGGCAGTGATCGGCTCTGAGGGACAAAGGGGACCTGCACTTGAGGCTGTGTCTGAGTGGAGCTCTGGGCATCTGCACAAGCAACACATCAGACCTCTGTCTGCAGCCGACACAAGCTGAGAGCCCATAGAGGCCCCAAATGCTTCAGTACTAGCCTCTTCTGGAGCAAGTGTCCCAGTGCTGTGGGGAGTGGGAAAAACACACACTTAAAGGGAACAGAGTCAGTTCAGGCCCAACCCTCAGGGCTTGCTCTCCAGCAACCTGGGATCATACCCCACTCCTGATAGGGCAGAGACAACCACTGAGCAGAGGAGAGGTCCTACCTCACACCTGGTGCCAGCTCTAGCCTCTCCATCTCCAGCTCCATACTCTACCAAAGCAAAAGCTGCCCGCACACCCTGAGGAAAGATGGGACTTGTGTCCACGTCAAATCCAGCTCTCCTACCAATGACAATGGGCACATGCAGTCTATACAGAGATATGCCCACATAAGAGCATCCCTTCAAGACTGTGATAGGTAACTGTTTCACCTAAATTCACAGAAGCAGAAAAAGTTAAGAAAAATGAAAAGGCAAAGAAACTATTCTCGACTGAAAGAGCAAGAGAAAAATCCTGAAAAAATAAACAATAAAACAAAATAAAAATTTACCAGATAAAGAACTCAAAGCATTGGTGATAAAAATGTTAACTGAACTGGGGAAAAGAATGGATGTATACAGTGAAAATTTACATGCTGCTATCCAGTTTTCCCAACACAACTTGGTGGAGAGGCCATGTCTTTTCCTTGTTGTATATTCTTGCCTCTTGTGTTGAAGATTTACTGACCATAGGTCTGTGGATTTATTTCTGTTCCATTGACCCATATGTCTGTTTTTATGACAATATCATGCTTTTTTGATTACTGTAGTTCTGTGGTATTGTCTGAAGTCTTCAAGAGTTATTCCTCCAACTTTATTCTTTTTCTTCAGTATTGCTTTGACAATTCTGGGTCTTTTGTGATTCACTATACATTTTAGGATTATTTGTTGTAATTCTGTGGAAAATGTCATGGGTAATTTGATAAGGATTGCATTAAATCTGCAGATTGCCTTGGGCAGTATGGCCATTTTAACAATACTGATTCTTCCAATCCAAGAGCATGGGATATCTTGCCATTTCTTTAAGACATCTTTAATTTCCTTAATCAATGTTTTCTAGTTCTCCATGTGTAAGTCTCAATTCTCCAATGAAGACATACAAATGGCCAAGAGGCACATGAAACAATGATCAATATCACTAATTATCAGAGAAATGCAAATCAAAACTACAATGAGGTCTCACCTCACACAGTCAGAATGGCCATCAATCGAAAGTCCACAAACGATAAATGCTGGAGAGGGTGTGGAGAAAAGGGACCCTTCCTACACTGCTGGTGAGAATGTAGCTTCGTAGAGCCATTATGGAAAATGGTATGGAGAGTCCTCAAAAAACTAAAAATAGACTTACCATGTGATCCAGCAGTCCCACTCCTGGGCATGTATCTGGAGGGAACTCTAATTCAAAAAGATACATGCACCCCAATGTTCATAGCAGCACTATATACAATAGCCAAGACATGGAAACCACCTAAATGTCCATTAACAAATGACTGGATAAAGAAATTGTGGTATATTTCTGCAATGCAATACTACTCAGCCTTAAACAATAATAAAAATAATGCCTTTTGCAGCAACACAGATGGACCCAGAGATCATCATTCTAAGTGAAGTAAGCCAGAAAGAGAAATAAAAATATCATGTAATACCACTCGTATGTGGAATCTTAAAAAAAGAAAAAAAGAAGACACTAATGAACTCATCTACAAAACAGAAAAGATGTGAAATATAGTTAAATAATCTTACAGTTACCAGAGGAAAGAGGGTGGGAAAGAATAAATTTGAGATTTGTAAATGTTAGCCACTAACATTTATATAAAATAGATTAAAAAGAACAAATTTTTTCTATATAGCAGAGGGAAGTATATTCAATATCTTATAATAACCTTTAATGAAAAAGAACATGAAAATGAATATATGTATGTATATGCATGACTGGGACACTGTGCTCTACACCAGAAATTGACACATTGTAGCTGACTGTACTTTGGTTACAAAAAAAAACTCTCATCAGAGTTGGTATAGAGGGAACATATGTCAACATAATAAAGACCATTTATGACAAACCCACAGTTAACATCATTTTCACTCAACAGTGAAAAGCAGAAATCCTTTCTTCTAAATTCAGGAAAAAGACAAGGATGCCCACTCTCGCCACTTGTATTTAACAACATAGTATTGGAAGCCCTAGCCACAGCAATCAGATGAGAAAAAGAAATAAAAGGCATTCAAATTGGAAGAAGAGAGGTAAAACTGTTATTGCTTGCAGACTTCATGATACATTATATAGAAAATTCTAAAGTCTTCACCCCAAAACTATCAGGACTAATAAATGGATTCAGCAAAGTTGCAAGATACAAGATTAATACACAGAAATCTGTTCTGTTTCCATATATGAATAATGAACTATCAGAAAGTTTTAAAAAATCCCATTTAAAATCACATCAAAAAGAATAAAATACCTAGAAATAAACTTAACCAAGGAAGTGAAAGACCTATACTCTGAAAACTAGAAAATACTGATGAACGAAATTGAAGATGATACAAAGAAATAGAAAGATATCCCACACTCTTAGATTGGAAGAATTCATATTATTAAATGTCCGTATAAAGCAATCTACATTTAATCTACATTTAATTTAATGCAATTCCTATCAAAACATCCATGACATTTTTCACAGAACTAGAACAAATAATTCTAAAATTCATATGGATAATAAATAATCCCTAATTGCCAAAGCAATCTTGAGAAAAAAGAACAAAGCTGGAGGTATCACTCTCCCAGACTTTCTACTATATTTCAGTAATCCAAACAGCATGGTACTGGCACAAAAAAAGAACACAGATCAATGGAACAGAATATAGAGCCCAGAAATAAACCCACACACCTATTACTCTACAACAAAGAAGTTAAGAATATACAATGAAGAAAAGGCAGTCTCTTCAACAAGCAGTGCTGATAAAACTGGACAGCCACATGTAAAACAATGAGATTAGAACACTTCCTAACACCATTTACAAAGATAAACTCAAAATGGATTAAAGACCTAAATGTAAGACCTGAAAACATAAAATTCCAGAAGAAAACATAGGCAGAACACTCCTTGACATTAAATTGTAGCAACATTTTCTATGTCTCCTAAGGCAAAAGAAATAAAAGCAAAAATAAACAAATGGGACCTAATTAAATGTAAAAGCTTTTGCACAACAAAGGAAATCATCAACAAAACGAAAAAACAACCTACAGAATGGGAGGAAATATTTGCAAATGATGAGACCAACAAGGGTCTAATATCCAAAATATATAAACAGCTCGTAACAACCTACTATCAAAAAAAAAACAAAACAATCAAACAATGGGCAGAAGATCTGAACAGACATTTTTTAGAGACATACAGATGGATAACAGGTACATGAAAAGATGCTTAACATTGGTAATTATTGGAGAAATGCAAATCAAAACCATAATGAGACATTACCTCACATCTTACTGAATGGCCATCACCAAAATGTCTACAAATAATAAATGCTGGCGAGGGCGTGGAGAAAAGGGAACCCTCCTACACTGTTGGTAGGAATATAAATTTGTGCAGCCACTATGGAAAACAGTATGGAGTTTCCTCAAAAAACTAAAAATAGAACTACCGTATGACCCAGCAATTTCACTCCTGGGTATATATCCAAAAAAAAGGGAAAACTGTAATTCAAAAAGATACATCCACACCATGTTCATAGCATCACTATTTACAATAGCCAAGATAAGGAAGCAACCCAAATGCCCATCAACAGACAAATGGATTAAGAAAATGTAGCAGATATATACAATGGAATATTACTGTCATAAAAAAGAATGAAATTCTGCCTTTTGCAGCAACGTGAACGAATATTATGCTTAGTGAAATAAGTCAGATAAAAACAAATACTGTATGATATTACTTATACGTGGGATCTAAAAAATAATGCAAACAAGTATATAAAGCAAAACAGAACCACACAATTATAGAAAACAATCTAGTAGTTAAAAGTAGTTACCAGTGGGGAGAGTGAATTGGGGAGGGGCACATTAGGGTTATGGAATTAAAAGATACAAATTACTATGTATAAAATAGACAAGCAACAAGGATATATTACATAGCACAGCCATTATCTTAGAATAGCTTAAATAAAGCATAAACTGTAAAAATACTGAATTATTATGCTGTACACTAGAAACTATTATATGATTGTAAATCAGCTACACTTCAATAAAAATAAAAATAAAATAAAATAAAATAAAATAAAATAAAATAAAAATAGAATGAGGACACTAGCCTAATAAGACTATCATAGGGATAAAATAAGACTGTCATAGAGATCGTGGACATTTCATCTAAATAACACTCGGAACAGGGCCCAGCACCTAGAACTCTACATCACTGTCAGAGCTTGTTGTTATTATTACGCCTCTGTAATGTTTGCAGTCATTTTACCACAAACATGAGTCACTTCTGTAACTCTTTAAAAATCTAAATTGGGACAATTAAAAAATTAATAAGATTATAAAAGTGAAGAGTTTTCTGGCCATTTTTTTTAAATTCATGGATGGTTGATGTACAGTATTTTGCTAGTTTCAGGTATACAACACAGTGATCTGAGATTTACATACATTATGAAATGCTCACCATAAGTCTATAACCACCTGCTCCCATGTAAAGTTATTACAATATTGACTATATTCCCTATGCTGTGTATTACATCCCTGTGACTTATTTATAACTGGAGGTTTATACCTCGTAATCTCCTTCACTTATTTTGTCCACCTCCCACTCCCTTCCCTCTGTTCTCTGTATCTATAAGAATGTTTTCATTTTGTTTTGTTTGTTCATTT